TAGATCTCACAGGAACTATTTTTGATAATATAAAATAAAAATAAATACTTCAACATTGTAACTCTTTACCTGAATTGTGCAGTGTCATGTTACAAAAATAGTGAAGCCGTGGAATATGAAAAAAGGCACTTCTACTTTCATTCTACTAAATTATGTGAGTAATGTGCCACATGCTAAGTAAAGGTACAAATAAAAATGCTGAGTGAGTGAGGAGCATGCTTGATGAAGAATTAACACAGGATGGTTTTAGCTCTGGTATCAACAAGCATTTGGTCTGCTGTAATGTGCAGGGGTGAAAAATAAGCTATGTGTTAAATGACTTAATACAGTGTTGATCCTTTTCTGTCAGGTCAGTTAGCAGGAGTAAAATATTTGCCCTACTTTAAACACGTAAGGAAGAACCATATTGTGTTCCTTTTAAGATTAATGTTCCTATATGGGCAGAAGAGAGAATAAGATTTATTCCCTGAACCTTATGTAGGTTTACACCTGTGCCAGTTACTGCTTGAAAGCTCTTAGCCATGTTCGCGGTCTTTTTTTTTTTTGTGTTAGTGAAAGTGGTTGTAAGAAGGCTGAAGACACTTTAAAGTGTTAAGTGTGACACATACAAAGCCTGTAAATTATAAATATAGTCTTGTCATGACCCCTAATTTTCTTTTATATACGTGCATATGTCGGCATGCATTTTTATGTTATAAACATGAAAAAATTATTTTCTTCAGTGCTTTAGAAGTAACTTCCTGTGCTGTCCTGATTTCCTTAGAAGTTTAGTAACATTTTTTGTGTTATTATTTGATGATTTAAAGCAAAGAAAATTGCACTCGGGGAGAGAGTGATAATCTCATGGGATGTGCACTTTTTATGGAACTGTGTTGTGGACTCATAAACTATGCAACTCCTGTTTATTTAATCAGATTTCATGGGTGAAATATGGGGTCAAATTTGGCACTCGTAGCACAAGATAAGAAGTAAGCTTGCCTTGGACTTGGTAAAGACAGGCATATAATAGTGGAAATACTACGTAAATTAATCTCAAAATGTTAGAGCAATTACTATTTTTAAGTTTTGACTGAATTGTTCAACCTTGTTAATTAAAAGCATCTGCATTTTCAGTAATTGAAATGAAATTTTGAGTGTGTGTATATAACCAGTGAAGACTAATTGTCCAGTAGATGGTCTAAACCATTTAAATTTTAACTTTAATTCCTTTACAGAGAAATTGTAGGGGAAAGTTCATATAAAAGGAGTAGTCCTAACTAAATTCTGGTTAGAACTAAAGTCTGGTTAGAAAGTAGCTTTTCCGTTTGAAGAAATTTTCGACATTTCAGAAAACTGGTAAGCACTTTTTCCTAGTGAACAAGGGATATGTTCTTTGGGTTTTGGGTTTTGTTGTTGTTTTTTTTTTTTTTTTTTACTTCAGTTGGAAAAGAAAATAGGCATCCTCACTTGAAGGAGAACTAAAGTTCATCTGCCAAGTCCCTGCATCTGAATTTGTAATACAGAGAACAGAAATGAGGAGGGAGTAGACGTTATGAGGAGCTCTTCGTGGAAGGAGAAGTTATATGAAACAGATTTAATCTTGTACCAGGATTTGCCAGATATCTTTTCCCATGCATGAGTTTTGGAGACAGAATTGTGAACTGGGTTGAATTCCAGCCATTGCATTTGTGAATGACTTAATTTGATTAGCTTCAGGTTTGTAATACTGGCTACTTGTATATTTGAATTACTTTGATGCTGTCTTTACAAATTACTGTCAGCCGTTAACTCATGTTCTGCTGTCATTTTGTGATGCTACAGACACTTGATTCTGTGCAAATTTTACAGCTACTTGCTTCTATATTTGGAGAAGGCCACTAAATAAATGGCTGAAAAAGTATGAAGCCACTTGAACAAATTGCAGTGCCTGATACTGCAAAGACATGGTGGTGGGTTTAGTTCATGCACAACAAAAGAAAATATTTCTGCTGAATGGAATAACATATCCAGGTGTTACTGAAATACTAAAAAGACTATCTAAGTAAATTCCTATTCAGTAAACAGATTGAAGTGTGCCAGGTGTGCAGACTCGTCTGTGTTGGTGCAATTTATGATAAACATTTATCAATGTTTATTTTTACCTTTTCAGATGTTTGTCTAATGGACATTGTTTAAAATACAAGCCATATAGAGACTTGGAAAGAAAAATACATTCATGCAGTCCAATTTCCTTCCAGAAGTCCGGTTCACAAACTGTGTGTCTTTGTGTTGTCTGCTTCCTTTTAAAGGTAGTCGATAGCAGGCAGGATTTTGAGGCATCATGCAGACGTCTTGCATACAGTTTTCTGGTGCTTACCACCAGATATGAACATAAAAATAACTATTATCAGTTGGAGGATAACAAAGTGGTGGAGGGCATTTTCAGGTTCTGAGACTTCCAACTCAGTGCTTTGGTCTTGCAGAAGAAAGCCCAAACGTGGTTTTCACTAGTACAATTTTTTCATTCGTTTTTTTTTCCAAAAAGAGGAAGAGGTTTTAAGAGGAATTCTTCAATAAAAGATGTATTTCAAGAATTACACCATAGAGGCCAAGAACTTGGACAGACGTATGGATTCTTTTTAGAAGGGAGTTTGTTAGGATAGAATGTAGAAATTGTGCTTGAGATTTTTCTTTATTTAACATGCTTTCATCAAGAACTGGAGTTAACTGTTTATCTAAATATAAAAAAACAAGGACTAGTTCCTAATGTACTAAAACCCAGCTAAGCAGATGCTTTTTTAGCTTTTTCTGTTACAGACTTGAACTGTGTTTTAGTAGCTTTATGAAACTTTTCTTTGTACCATGATCCTTTGTAAAGCTGATTCATCACAGAGCAGTATCAGGGCTGTATTCTGCAACAGCGAGTGTTTTCTATCCAATTTGTTAAAATTATATATATATAGTTTCTGTAATAAAGTCCAGTGCAATGGGAAACTCAAGAGGCAGTAATGCAAAGTTGCAAGCAGTTTGTGATCCATTTGCAAAGCTTTCAGTAAAATTAGTCAGCTTTTCCCTGGTGTATTGACCAGGTAATAAGAAAGAGTAGGCAATGAAAAATGTGGAGCTTGAGAAGTCTGGAAATGCCAAAGTGCACTGGGTGCTCCTTGTGAGTGAAATACTCAAAGATAACATTTACAAAGGTTTATGGCATGTAGCTAGAGGGAAAATGAGATAGTTTCCTGCAGGAACTGAAGTTACAGTAGCATAAGTAATTTTCCTAACTAGGGATTTGTATTAAGATTGAAGAAATTAATTTCATTGGGAAAGCTGCACATCCAGTTTTGAACTGGTTAGATGGTAAAGATTGCTAAGCAGAAGAACTGAGATCTCCCTAAAGTGTCAAGTCTGTCTAAGAGGACAGTCACTTGCACTAAGAATTGACCTGCAGTAGTGAGACACTGACCTGGGTATGTAGCATGGACAAGCCTTGAGATTTACAGCCAGGAGTGTTGTTGGTAAACCATATACAACTTGAGTATAGTTTATAGCGTGTTATCTTTCTAAAAACATTTAAAAAAAACTATTACTGTTATTTTCCTGAAGTGAGGAGGTCATTGGAAATCTCAACTAATTATCTGCTTGTTCTTCACCTACCCCAAAGAATGTGTGAGTGGTGGGTGCAATTCCAGGTGCAGAGGACTCTGGGAGGAATGGTCATCAGAAGCCCTGTGGGGATGGGATGGCTGGTGGCCTGAGGTTGAAGAAGCAGCAAGGGGAGTATAGAGGTCTCAAAGATGCAGTTAACTTTGAAATGATGGAAGTAATTAAGAACTGAAATGAATGTATTTTGTTAATCAAGCACATGCTTATCCAGGGAATTTTGCTGCTACAACTGGGAGCTCTAAAGTTGTTGAGATGCTTTTAAAGCTAATTTTAGAGCTGTAGGTTTGGAAGCTACATATTGGACATTCTAATAAAGTACTTAAGGGTATAAGTTGAGAAAGACTGGTAAGATGTTTTCTTTTTGTAAGTATCAAACAATTGGACAAATATATCCGGGGGGGTTGGAGGGGTTGTTTCTGTGGTTTTTGTTGGATTTTTTTTTTTTTTCCTAGCTAAATCATCAGATTTTGGTTTATGTCAGAAACAGGGTGCTGGATATGGTGAATCAATGATTTGACCTGACAATACAAATTCTATTTCTGTGAATTTATGGTGACAACAGATTTGTGACTTGTGCTGGAGGCAGAAGATCCATGTATCACTTTAAGTAGAGCTTTGCTGCTAGTCCACAGTCTTTGGAAATCAGAAATAATTTTCTGGTTGAGAAGTTTTGAAAAGAGCTCAAGAACCATGGGATGCTTTTGTAAATTATTATTAAATTAGCATAATAAGTAGTATCTAATTTTTGAGTGGCTCTTGAGTGGTGATTTCTGTTTTGAAAGATCTGAATTGTTCTCAAGGCAGAAGAGGCTGAAGTTGAATGAGCAAGTTAAAGTGATATAAAAAATGGTGGGTCTGTTGGAAAACAAGTAAATGTACATGAGCTTACACCGTGTCTATGACACTGTTGTATCCAGCACTAGAATATGAGTCACTTTAATGATAAATGCAAGTGATTGATGAGGTTTATTCTTGGGATGAGTTTTCCACTACTATCTTTCCTGAGGGAAGAATGGTATGCCTGTCATCTGGGCAGTGGTCCTTGCAAACTGGAAAGGAACAGAGGGAAGGATTTTGGCATCCTGAGATTTACAAGGGTTAAGTATCTGCACTGAACATCACTGTTCTTCTCCTTTCTTTTTCTCCAGTTGTGTTGGGCAGAAGGGGAGATAGAAAAACATTGGTCTTTTTCCTCTTTCTGTCAATTTGCCTTACTTAAATTATATTGAGAATAATTTTAAGGAGGGTAGGAATGCTAAATTCAGTTTACTGAAGTGGGACCAAATCCTGCTCAGTATGGACATGGAAGCCTCCCTTCCTGCATAATGGTGTATTAACACCAAACTTTTAATTTTTAATTTCTTTTTTTTTACTTAAAGGCTGCGGTTGCAGACTATGTGTTCAGACTAAGTTGAAATGATCTTCATTTTGTCCTAAGCGTGGTCTCCTCACCACCCCATTTCTGTCTCCTGCATTACTGTTTGCTCTCTCACTGGGAGTGGAAGTGGCCACAGTTTCCTTCTGTGGAGACCAAAACCAAGGTTGAGCATTCATACATGGTGCAAAGCCAGGTAAGAGACTATTGGTGCGGACATGTGGGCTGGCCTGCACTGTGACAGTTAAGGTTCTTAAGAATCCCAAAAGAGCAGGCTTTGCAAAATGTAGTTGTTCTATGCAATCTGCAGATTCAGATGTTTGTCTCCTATAGTTAAAGTCTCCTTTTTAGGGTTTTCTTCTCATGTCACCTAAAATTTTCTTTTCCATGAAGGTGTAAAACATCTGTTGTAACAGAGCTAGAGCCATTAGGCTGTCCTACTAGAGCTGTCAGGCACACTTAGAAATACAAATTAGCAGTACGCTCCATTTGCCAAGTGTGAATTGTCAGATTAATTTTTCAAAGGTCTCTCTTTCCCATTCTTACTTTTTTTTTTTACTACATTCTAAAACCGATCATATTCACTGCAATAGCATTAGATTACTTGTTTATCAAACACTTTTTTACTACAATTAAGGTGGAAGTTTTTTGTTCTTTTGTTTTAAGAAATGGTTTGAAATATTCACAGTGCTTGCAAATGTTAATTTCCAGTTAAAAAAAAAAATCTCAGTTGAAATTGTTCATAAATAATGCAAGCAGATTGAACACATCTTCTGCAGATTTTTCAATTTAAAACAAAGTATGTCTTGCAAACACTTGGGTCTTTGTTTTTCTAGAACTTGGATGGCTCCATCCTGGCTTGTACTGGCACATTGTTTAGTATTTCACAAGCATATGAAGTAACTCTAATGTCTAATACTACAATATGTGCTTCAGCAGCGTAGTCACAAAATGTCTATTTTGGATGTTATTAAAACTTTATAAGCTTTGTATTAGCACATAACAGTTACTTTAAGTATATAGTTTCAGGGCATGTTGGTGGGCACATCCAGCAATTCAGTGATACTGCTTTTCCAGTCATTTTGACTTTGCCTTAGGTAATTACTTAAAGGGCTGTTGATTGTAGTATTTCAGGTCTATGCTCTAGAAATCGTACAGCTGAAATCGTCTATGGGATATTGAGCTGTCCTCTCACTGCCTCTAGGAGATGGTTGTTCTTTTAAGTTTTTCTACTCCATCATGTCAATATGTTCACAGGAGTGGACTTTGGTAACATTAATTTTATCTCTTGGACCATAAAAATGCACCTTTCATGGAGCATGGCTGGGAAGGGTGATATGAAAGTAGTGTATGGCTGAGAAGGAGAGTGGTTGAGAGTAGCTACACATTTATGTAATGATTGCTTTGATTAAGTATTATTTATTAGTGAAAATAGTGCTGATCTGTGTTCCTGGTAAAATGTAAACTTGACAATGCATTTGAGTTTTTATGTGCAGCCCATGTCTGTAACACAGACTTTGTATCATTAACTTCTTTCTTAAAAAGTTCTTTTAAACAGATTCCTGAAGTTAAAATCCAGGGAAGGTTTTATTGTTCTGTGTTTTAAAATGTGGTTTTCATTATGAATTTACATTACCAACCTTTTTATTTCCTTGACAGCATTATAGACAGAAAATACAATATATAGGCGTTTGTTGGTTTTGCCCTTTCTGCAGTTTCAGCTGAGATTCTGACTGTGTTTTCTGTCCTGTCCTCTACTTCTCCCATCTGTTTTTACAAAGCAGCTTGGGCTTTCAAGTTCAGCGTAGTGTCTGTGTCATTTGAAAACAAAAAAAAAAAAGAAAAAAAAAGTGGGGAGATTTTCAGAGGCAAGGCAGTGTTCTGAATATCAGCTATTTTTGTGTATACTGCCTGTCATTGAAAGGAGTAGCAGCAATACACAGAAAACATCTGTGTTGTGGGCTATTTGCAGTAAACCATGCAAAAGGCAAACAAAAGAGAAGAGAGGATGTCAGAGCCCAATATTCTCTGATCAGTTCCCTTTAGGAAACTGGAAACACTATGGTGGAGGGTGTCGTATTTAACATCAGATTTACTTGCTAGAAGATAGTTGATGCTGCATGGGATTTCTCATTTAGCAAAGTGGTACAAAACATACCAAGAACACAACACAAATGTTAAGTTACCCATAGCAGAATATAGCAATTGCAATGCATAGATCAGTCATGATACCAGTGTGATTCCCACAGTAATTTATATATAACATGGTCACTGTCACAATGATGGGTGTCCTCAGTCTTGGTAGAAAGGATATCCGTGGGTTGAAGCTAGTTCAGGCCCACTGCTTTCTGAATTTATTTTGCTAGTTTTCTGGGTTTTATATGCTGTATTGTGCTGAGTCACATCTACATTTTCCTCTTGTTGGCCTGACATCCACACTTTTCTAAGGAACGGGGGGAGAAGCCTTTACACCACCAGGTGATCCACTCAAGCTGTTGATAGCTGCTTACCTAAACCAAAGACCACCCTCAGGTCCCCTTGGTGTTGAGATCAAGACGGCTTCTTTGCAACAGATGTGATAATAAATCTCTGCATTATTCCTTGGGTTTCACAGGCACATCACCCTGGCCCATCTCCTCTGACTTGTCTTCCATGGTGTAGGGGTTTACTGGTCTGTCACAGAGAACATGCACAGAACAAATAAATTGGTCTTTTGGTGTTTGGCTGCTTTGTGTTGATGTATGGGTTGGTATCTCTTTATCATGATCTTGATGCATTTATAGCTTCCTTGAAGTCAGAGGTTACATTTGTGACCATCTATGTATTCTGAAAATGATGTGCAGCAGTACTGCACCTGAGAAGGCAGGAAATAAGGAAAAAGATAAGATTAGTTCTTTAATTTCACAGAGAAGTATACTCTTACATCCTTTTTATGATTATTGTGTTGAAAATAGTAAACATATGTAGTGAGTACAACTGGTTTTAGCAATATGGTTTAATTAGTCTGGTTCCAGGCTGATGGAAAGAAAAAGGTGGAAAACAGTGATGAGGGTCACAGTTTACAATGGTAGGGAATAAATGCTGAATACAAGAGTAATTTACAGCTTTGCAGTGCTTTAACCTTAATTTACCAGGTGTTCAGGAACTTCCTTCATTGCCCTCTGCATTTTTCTTTTGTTCATGGCCTCAGAACGCTTCCAGATATATGTACTACGGACATATGTACTGCTTCATTGGCATTCAGTTCACATTACTATCCCATCCAATTTTGTATTCTTCTCCCTACAAAATTCTTGAGAAACCTGACTGCTAGCAAACATTGCAACATTTTTTAAACATTTTTATTTGTGCCCGCACAGAATATTTCAGTCAGCACCAAAATGATTGTTTGAATCACTGTGCAAAATATACATTATTTAATCGTGTATACAGTATTGTATGAGAAGTTTGTAGAAGCAGGTATATTGGAGAAGAGACAGAAGAGACTGCATTCATAAAGGAGGCTGGAAGAGAGGTCAGGAGGTTGCTTTTCCTGAGTTGTGCTTATAATTTTTTTTATATTACTGTGTCTTTCAAAAATTAGCTGTACAGTGGTTTGCATTTTAAAGATAGCATGCAATGCACAATTTGGGGGGTTTATTAATAATAATCATTATTGTATATTTAGTATATTAAAAACTGGCAGGACAGTATTTGGTATAAAATGTGTATATATGTTTCAGTAAACAGCCTCCTGTTCTTGCAGAAAGTATCACAGAAATTGTAGTTTCTAAGTTAAGATAGGTGATGGAGTTTTATTAGTACTATGCATCTGATATCTTTTATGAAAGAATTCTTCTTTCCTTGGAGGATGGTAGAGAAGTAAGTTGGTTGCTTTGTCTGATCCCTTTTCCATCATTGCTCTCAGTTGTGTTGACCTTACCTGTCCTATTGGACAATTTGGGTTCATCAACATTACTTAGTGGTGGAATTCAATAGTAGCTGTATTGGATCTGTATGAAGTTTAAGTTCAGTACAGGCTTTGTCAATTAACTGTTTTCTCTGAAGTAATTCTCTGTGGGAGATGTTGCTTAAAAGTTCTGACCAATATGTTATACAGACAAATCTTTGCAGTGTCTATGCTAATTTTTATGAAGTACAGAGATTATGATCTGTTTCACAATCTTGTATCATTAAGAGGCAGCCCACTCTGAGCTATAAATGTCTGAGTGTTAGTGATACTAAGTCTGCCTTGTCTAGCACTGTTTGCTGAAGGGAGGAAAAAAGCAATATGCCATATAGCTACACATTCTTCTTTCCTTCAGTTGTCATATCCCATAGTGATTCAGTTCTGCCGGGTTACAGTCGTAACTGACCTACTGCCTTCCGGTTGAGATTTTTAAATGGAATCTGTCCAACTTTAGAAGCTCACTTTAAATGTGAGCTTTTTTGCCTGGAATGACTTTTTTGTTGACTGTAGCTCTTTGTTCAAATGTTGACTTGCTTGTGTTACAGCAACATCCAGAGATCCTATTCTACTTCCCACCCTACTGTGTGCAATACAGAAACACTGGGAAGCATGGTCTGTGGGAACACTCGCACCTTAAGGGAAGATGAAGCAATATTTTCTAACACCTTTTTTAAAGGAATTGGAATTGCTTGACTCCTCTGCAAAGAATACAAAGCTATAGTAGCTGTGCCCACCTTATTATGTATTGCAGTAGTAGCTAGAGGCACCTGTTCCAGGTTCGTAGGATTCCCATGTACAAAGACTGGACACCAAACACAATGTAAACAATCAAATGCTCTGGTCTGTTTATTGAGTTATTTGTGCAAAGCAAATATATGTATATTAATTGGTACCAAGTCTCCATTGTATTAGAATCTTTCTAACTTCTGCCTTAGCATTTTCTAGCAGCTGCTGTAAGTTTACGTGCTCTAACATCTGTTTTACCAGTGACAACTCCATACAATACAAGGTGTAGTTTCTTATTAGCAACTGGCTACTAAATGCAGGTGGTTTATACACAAAATCACAGTTTCTAATAATAGCTACGTTGCAAGCACACATATTCAAGTTGTTATTTTTCAATTGCCCCCAAGTGATGTTTTGCAAATCATTCCTTTTTCTCTGTCTCATTCCACTCGGGGTCTTCAAGGTCAGCTCCTGCAGCTGAGGCATTGGGTTCTTCAAGTTGTCTATCCAGCTCATGGTAT